CAGAGACTTCTCTACTGATATTGACCAGGTAGAGATTTAACAGTTTTCATTTTAGAAGCCATAGAGAGGCAGGTGGCAAATTGAAACACAGATTTCCATTTTTCTGCTTACTCCTGCAGTTGTAAGTGAGAAACAGGCTGTGAATTTCTTTCCTCCAGTAACAAAACATTATAGAAATGGATTTTGAGCTATTTCCCTGAGGAACTTTTGGAGGAGAGTGAGGTTAAATGAGCTGCTGTCCCTCTGTATTCTCAGGAGGCTGTGCAAGGAGCGACTACGTGGGGCCATACAGGGTACAATCCCAGATGGGCAAATGGGAATCAATCTGGAGACCAGCTGCATTTTTATATTTCTCAAAAAGCTTTGTTCTTGCAAAATAACTACTGTGATCAAGGCAAAAAGAAAAGTGATACTGAAGAGTTGAATCTGTTATTATGACAAGGAGGAGAGACACATAACAGTAAACTGCCACATCTTCTATCAGGATGCCTGAAAATGATTTGTTTCCAAGATGTGATGGCTCCAATTCAGCACCAGGCCAGCTGCAAGGGAATTTCCTTCATAAATGATATCACATTAATATTTGATTCCCTCCTCTTGGTTGATGAAAATCAGGTTTTATTTATTGAAATTAAAAGTGACTCTTAGATGGTACTTCACTGTTTTGATTTGCATCTCTCAGATGATTAGTGACTTTGAGCATATTTACATGTCTTTTGGCTCTCTGTATGTCCTCTTCCAAAGAGTGTCTATTTAGGTCCTTTGCCCATTTTATGATTGGATTGTTTATCTTCCTTTCATTAAGTTTTATGTGTTCCCTGTAAATTTTGGAGATGAAACCCTTATCGGAAATAAGATTGGCAAAAATGTTCTCACATGCAGTTGGCTTTTTTGTTTTGTCGATGATTTCTTTTGCTGTGTAGAAGCTTTTTATTTTTGATAAAGTCCCATTTATTTATTTTCTTCTTAGGAGCTGTATTGGTAAAGATATTGCTACAACAAATGTCTGCTATTTTGGTGACTTTGGCTTCTTCTAAGGTTTTTATGGTTCCCATCTTACTTTGAAGTCCTTCATCCATTTTAAGTTTATTTTTGTGTAAGGTGTAATTTATTTAAAAATAATTTCCTTGCCGAAACCGGTTTGACTCAGTGGTGGAGTGTAGGTCTGTGCCCGGTTTCGATTCCGGTCAGGGGCATGTACGTTGGTTTCGGGCACATCCCCTGTAGGGAGTGTGCAAGAGGCAGCTGGTCGATGTTTCTCTCTCATCGACGTTTCTAACTCTCTATCTCTTACTCTTCCTCTCTGTAAAAAAATCAATAAAATATATTTTAAAAAATATAATTTCCTCTACATACTTGTATGTTCAATGTGACCACCACCAGATAATCTTAAATTAGCAATGAGACTCACATGATGTTTCTACTGGACAGAGTTCTTTCTAACATCACTTCATTCCTTTCTTCATCGGTGTGCCTACTCTTTCTTGTCAGCCTTGGAAATAATCATGTGAACTAAACTAAAATATTCATAGAAATCAACAAGACAACTTTATTGGAGACATCCAAGAAAAAAACAGTCTGATGGGAAGAACTTCCATCTTTATCCCTCTCCACAGTAAGTAGTCAGAAGGCTACCAAGAAGCATACACAATCAAAAATGTGAAAGGAAAGTTGTGTGATAAGCAATAATATTATTAAGATTGAGTGATATCTGACACCTGTTATCAGGGCTGTGTTGTCAAGGCAACCATTGAGAAAGCCCCTGTCTTCTTGCTTGGCCCCTGTATCATAGATTCTCATCTCTGTCTGGGTGGTGATGCTGATGGATTTTCCGTACTTCAATAACAGTTCAGTTCCATCAATATTCTAGACCTGACTCCCACCACAGGCAGTCAGGATAATGGGAAGCAAGGATGGAAAAAGGAGTTTCCCTTTCTCCACAATCATAACATACATGGGCAATGGCAAGTGCATCTTCCAATGTTTGACATCTATTTTGAAATAACATCAAGAAAAAATACAAGAAAAGGGCAATAGACTCTCACACACTATTCACCCAGACTTTTAGATTTCCCCCTATTAACTTTTTTATTTTCATTCATAGTGTACATTCATAGTGTACATTTTGAATCAATACCCCTATTAACTTTTAATCACATTTGTTTTATCAGTCTTTCTGCCGATTATGTGTGTATTATATATAATACATACACATTGTAATTTTTAAAATCATTGCAGAAAAGTTGCAGAAATGATATTTTTTACCATCTACAAATCTTAATAGGTTTTCTTTTTCAAAGAATAAGCACATTCTCCTATATAACCACATTGCAGGTATCAAAATCAATAAATCAATATTAATACATTCCTACTATCCTATCTAAAGACTTTAACATTTTGACAGTTGTCTCAGTAGTATTCTTTATAGCACAAATATCCTTTTTTCTGTTACAAAATGTAATTTGGATCAAGTGTTTCATTTGATTATCAGGTCAATTTTTTCTCTTTTGTGATGGAATAAGTCTTCATTCTTTTCAAGCCTTTCATGACGTGGTGATTTTTGAAAAATAGAAGCAAGCATTTTGTAGAATTTTCCCCTCAGTTTCAGTTTGTGTGATGGTTCCTTATAGTGAAATTGGTTAAAAATTTCGGTAATATTATGGAAATCTTGCTGTGTCATTCTCAGTGCACTGAATCAGGAGGTTTATACCAGCTCTTTGTCCCATTACAGCGAAGGTACCTTCAACTAAGTGGTTAAGGTGAGATTGACCAGGTTTTTTACTATCAAGTCACAAGTTTTCCTCTTATAATTAATAAGTATTTTATAGGTGAATATTTTAAGAATATAGAAATATCTCGGTAATCATCAAACTCTCACCCATTAACTTTAGCATTCATTTTGGCAGTTTACAGTAAGGAAGGGCAGCCCCTTCTGCCTCAGTTGGTAATTTGTTCACTAATTTTTTATTAGCTATATTCATGGATTCATATTTTATTCAATATGTTATAATCTGATACCATCATTATTAATTTTAGCAATCAACTTGCCCCAGAGTTCCTCCATAAGTCCTGTTAAGCTGGCCCCTAAGTCCTTTTGACACGCCCTCCTCATTCTCTGAATACATCCTTAATTCCTAGAACAACAAAATCTTCCAGGTTTATTTGAGACTCTCCTAACCTGGGCCCTGGAAGCAGCTACTTTGATTTAAAAAAAATCTTAGTTTATTTCAGAGGAGAATGAGATTAGGAAATTAAGTCATGTGTATTCAGTGTGTTCATTGATTCTTTCTAGACTGTCTAAACCAAGAGAGCTAGGAAATTAGGAAATCCATGAATACACTAGTACACATACATATTTGCCTATCCTACTTTTTAATATATATATATATATATATATATATATATATATATATATTTTTCCCCCCCCAGAGAGAAAGAGCGAGAGAAACATCAATGATGAGAGAATCATCAATGATGAGAGAATCATCGATCAGCTGCCTTCTGCACGCCCCATGCTGGGAATCAAGCACATGCCCTGCCTCTGGGTATCAGCAGTTACTTCTAGATTTATAGGTCTATTCTCAATCACTGAGCCAAACTGGCCAGGCTGCACATCCTACTTAAACACACAATATGCCAGATAATATACTACACCACGAGGATCACAATGAGCATAATATGCAGTTCCTATCTACTGAAAAGTCTACATTTTCTAGTAAAAGATTATTTAAAAATTAAACTTTAAAACCCTAACTGCTGACCATTCTGAGCTATTGTTAATATGTTATAATTTTATCAACCAATACATTCATTTAAAGACTTTAGTTATAAACTAAATTGCAGTGGAAAGACAATTCATTGCCCAGTGCAATGAAACAATTAGGATAATAATATAATATTTATTATCATTCCATTTAAAAAACATAAGCAGTTAGCATTTGTTCAAAAAGCACTGTGCCTTATCTCTTGTGCATGCTTTACTTCATTTAATCTTGGCGGTGACAGTATGGGGAAGGGAATGTTTTGTGGCCATTTCACAGATGATGAAACCCACCAGTGCTGGGAGTCATGGAGCTAGACCAACAAATCTATCACCTTCAAAGCCCTTGCGTTTTACCAGTATTAGCTTTGCTGTGGGGCTGGCTTTTTTCAGCACTGATAATTAAAGTTTCCTCGTGTCCATTAACACCAGCATCACAAAGAAAAGGAAATGATAGAAACGTCTTTCCAATAACTTCATAGAACTCCATCACATGAGAGTTGCATTAAAAAATGTTGAGGAACCGTTTCCAAATTACACAGGGCCAGAATCCTGGCATGTCCACAGGGTGTTCTAGAGCCCTGTTGAAGGTGACATCTATGGCTTAACCCTCCCCCCTCCAAGGAGACCCTGGTCCTCAGACATGTCTAAAAGACAGGAGGGGAACTGGGCCTTGGTGGTTCAGCTCTGACAATAAAATAAATGCTCCATGCAGATGTAAGAGTCACATGTTCCTTCTTTAAACCATGAACACAGATGTAAGTAAATTGTGATTTTATGTATCATCACTTATCTAACTCTTTCCTATATGTAGTTTTCAACACATATGTCCATAGTTATTTCATTATAAAGAGGAAAGAATGATTTTTTAAAGATGGTTGTTTTTTATGAGCATATGATGGCTGAAAGCATCAAACTACATAATCAATGATTATTCCAAAGGAAGCAGAACAGGACAACCCCAGACACTGAGGAAGTGTCCTTTGAATTATCTATCATGTGAAGAAGAGACAGTCAGATGGTGCCCCTGAAAGGAAGATGTGCTCACAGCGGAAGAAAGGGACAACTGTGAATCAAAGCAGGTGGTGACTCATATGAAGCAGGGCAGCCAGGAGCCCTGTGGCCTGACCTCCGGATGCAATGCCTCCCTACGCAGCACTGATTAATACCTTCACACACATCGGACAGGGAACTAATTGGGATGGAAAAGGCAAGCTTGAGGAAAATAAAGTGCACCTACCTGGATCAGAGACAAATCGTCCAGCTGTAACCTGAAGAGGTAGTTTCTGCAAAATATAAAAAGAGTTTTATTTTTAATAAGTCCAAAATATAACAGTTCATAAAAGTCAAAAGAACAAAGAATTTTTTTTAAATCTTCATGAATATTGGCTTCCAAAGCATCCTCCTGCTAAGAATATAGGTAGCACAGTTTTCATTGGACCTCAGAGCTCAAAATGGAATTCAGTAATGTGACAACGAACATTTAAGATAGGTGAGAGCCAAAACCAGGTTGGTTCGGTAGATAGAGCATTAGCCTGTGGACTGAAAGGTCCCAGGTTCGATTCCGGTCAAGGGCATGTACCTAGGTTGCGGCCACATCCCCAGTAAGAGGTGTGCAGGAGGCAGTTGATTGATGTTTCTCTCTCATCAATGTTTCTAACTCTCTATCCCTCTTTCTTCCTCTCTATAAAAAATCAATAAAATTAAAAAAATAAAAATATATAGGTGAGAAAGTTAAGGCACAAGGGGTGTGTGTGTGTGTGTGTGTGTGTGTGTGAGAGAGAGAGAGAGAGAGAGAGAGAGAGAGAGAGAGAGAGAGAGAGAGAATTAGCTAGGTCTGCATTACTATTGGCTCTCTTGATCTATGTGAAAGGGACAAAAGGACATGGGCATTGGGTTCTGAAACTAAAGATGGTAGAAAACCATTCTTCATGAGTCTTCATTCTTACAGGTCACCTACATTCACCAGACTTTATTATTAAAATGTGTCCAGGTTTTGAATTCACCAATACTCTGAGTACTAGAGTGATCTGTCTTGTTAGATGAAGTTAGTGCATCATAAGTTTAGAAGCATTAACTGTGTCCAGCATCAAGGGCTTGAAAGAGTCAGCCCTATTTTCCCAAGTGTGAAACAGGAAATCAGAGAGAAGGAAACTATCAGCTTTCAACAGTGAAGGGGGAGAACAGTGAAATAAATATGCAATCGAGGCCAGCAGAGCATGAGATGGGGTTTGTGGAGAGGGGGTGGTTTGGGTCACATTAGATTTTGCATTAGGCTTTGGACCCTAGTGCTGTGGCTTTTAGAAAGAACAGATGGGCCTCTCTGTGAGATGTCTCAGCCTCTAACTCAAATCATGGAGAAACTGCATGCAGATGAGAAGCTGGAGTGCAGGAGCGGCACTCAGGGGATGAGTAGAGGAGAAAGTCTGCCCAGGTGCAGACAATAGAGCCGGGAAATTTGGCATATAGTAATGGAAAGCAGGCCCCAAGAATGCAGGGTGGTGGGGAGGAGTCCCAGTGAAACTGAGGTTAAGTTATAATGGGTTAGTCCAAGATTATATATATTTAAAAAATAACCAAATTTTCCCAACACCAGTAAGAAAGAATTGCAGATTACTTTAACTATCTGGGGAGGTAGGTAGATGTCAGAAGCAGAAATGCTGACCCAGTAGAAATAAGAAAGGACAGTTAGGCCAAAGGCAAAGCCTACGGTGTGGCTAGAGATGGGGAGGACAATTCAGTAGGGAGCTGACATCCAATGGCATGAGTGCACACACTGCTTGAGGAAGGAACAGGACTAAGACCCCCTTCAGGGGGGTCTCATGCATCCCAGGAATCGGCCCCCGGGCACTCAGATATCTCACAATTTGTCCCCGCCATGGGGACACTGCCTTCCTGCACTCAGTGAAAACTGTCTCCTCCAACCACTACAACGGCCTCTTTGCCACCTTCTTTGTGACCCTTCAACTTAACCTCTGAAAATAACCCTGGGCACATGCCCCAAAGCCATCTGGGAAAAACATCTCCTCACTTCCTTAAGGTTGACTCCTAGCCCACTATGAAGAACAGATTACTGCATCAGAGCCTGCCTATTTATTTATTTAATATCTATTTATTTATTTTTATTGCTTTCAGAGAGAGAGAGAGGCAGAGAGAAACATCAATGTTGAGAGAGAATCATTGATCGGCTGCCTCCTGCATGCTCCAACTGGGGACAGAGCCCACAACCCGAACATGGGCCCCTGATGGGAATAGAACATGGGACCCTACAGTCCACAGGCCAACGCTCTATCTGCTGAGCCAAACCAGCTATGGAAAGAGTCTGTTTTTATTCAGCCAGGCACCATACAGAGGAAAGGCTTCCAACAGAAACACCTCCCTGTGGCGGGAGGATGATGAACTCAGTGCACACGTGGAAGACTGCAGACCAGCTGCCAGGTAGGCACCCCTGGAGGCCAGCTTGCATTTGAAGAGCTGCCAAAATCTCACTGATGGGAAATAAGAGACCAGCGGAACTTCTGTAAGAAACATTAAAAATCTATACACAGGGAGAGAAAAGTCTTTCAGGTGCTGAGTATACAAGTGGCACCAGACGCAATCACTGGCCATCAGGGAGTGCCAGGGCATCTGACCCTGACCCCCAAGCTGGTGTTCTAAGTGGCTTCCTGAATATAGGAAGCAGACAGTGGTCATTGTCCCTCTGTTACAGAGACAGCATTGCCTAGCGATTGAGAATATTTGTGTAAAAGCCAAAGCTCTATCACCATCCAACCTCAGGAAGAAAGCTGTCGCACTGTGTAGCTCAGTCTTCTCATCTGAAGAATGGAGCCAATATTCAAAGCTGCCCCCTGGGGTGGTTGTGAGGTTTAAATCCAATGAAAATACTTAGAATGACTTCTGACACATTGTATAAATGCAATTAATATAGTTACTGCCAGAGTTTTATAAATATATCAAATTTTCCAGACACAATGAAATTAGCATATTCTCCATGGCTGGATTTTTCAAGGGAAAAAAAAAAAAAGACAACATTGTTTATCTTGTCTCGGTTCTGGGACCCAGTCATCACACACTTTCCAACTCATTGTCTCTGTTAATATTCCCTGTAAAAGAAACTATTCATATTCTCAGTGAATGAATTACCTGAGGGCTTTGATGATATTACAAGGCTATTCACCATGTTTTCTCTCTCTCTCTCTCTCTCTCTTTCTCTCTCTCTCTCTCTCTCACACACACACACACACACACACACACACACAGACACACACACACACACACACACACACACACCCCACACATACATGTCCACATTATAATATCTATTACTGGAAACTTTTTAGAAAAACAGCTCTCATACCCAAAGGAAGAGCAAAAAGTCTCTTGACGCCATTGAGGAAAGAGGATGGTAGTGTCCCTGATGTTCTGCAGAGCTCTGAGCAGGCCAGCTGGAGAGAAGCATTAAAGTTTTCTCTACTTGGAGAGAGGACTGGAGGAGAAGGTATAGAGATTATTCTCTGAAACCCCTGGGTCCAGTTCTCAGATGTTTTCCATAGTAGCTCTACACTCTTAATATTTGAGTCTTCCCAAAATTCATGTTAAAAATCCTAACCCCCAAAGGTGATAGTATTAAGGATGTAGGGCCTTTGAGAGGTGCATTATTACCCCCATAAAAGAGGCTCCAAAGACATCCCAAGCCCTGTCCACCATGTGAGGACTCAAAGCTAGATGCTGGCCATCTGCCACCCAGAAGCTGGCCCTCACCAGAGCCCCCCATGCTGCTACCCTGATCTGGGACTTTCAGCCTCCAGTTGTATGAGAAGTGAATTTCTGTTGTTTATAAGCTATCTGGTCTGTGGTATTTTGTTACAGTAGCTCGAGTGGACTAAGACAGGAAGACACTGATTTATGATGACCATCATGCCACAGCTCAGTCTACAGCTCCCAAACCTAACTCTGCTGACCATCCTCTTTCTGTCCCTCAGGTCCCCACTGTCTAGAAAAGTACCACCCTCCACTGCCAGCCTTTACCAGGATTTTAACAATTTACTCTGCATTCACTAAAAACAGCTGGGAACTATGGTGCTCTCACAACTATCTCATCTGTAATGAATCAGAGGCATTTAATAGGTGGGTGGAAGGGGCAGAGAGGAGGAGTGTGCTTATTAAGAAAAGCATCACAGTAATAATGAGATACTATCACTGTCAGCAACATCTCCACCACCATCTTAATGAAGAAAAGCACCAAGATTTGAACTTTTTCTTTGATATCTTCTGGATTATAAAATGCAAATTGTTAATTTTTTAACACTTCCTCAATTATTTTTTAACCTAATAAAAACCATAGACTCCAAGAATTCCAGAGCTGAGTTGTCATTAGAGAGAATATACCCTCCATTTGTAGATGGAGAAACTTATTCAAATTAAGATGTGCAGTACGATTTATCCAAGATTATTAGGACTCAGGGAAAATCCTAGGGTTAGAAGTAAAACACACACCCCAGTGTCCCTTGTCCCATTGTGCTATGTGGCCTCACCGGTCATCCAATGTCCCCTTCCTAATTTCACTGGCACTAAACACACACACAGAGAGAGAGAGAGAGAGAGAGAGAGAGAGAGAGAGAGAGAGAGAGAGAGAGAGAGAGAAATAGTTCTTATAGTACAATTATCACATACCTTCATTGTTCAGTCACCTATACATTTACAACTAATTTTGAGATGATTCAAGGCTTAGCACTGCTTGCTAATGACAAGCTTTTGATTCTCCAGGTCATTGAGTCTCACCTCTGGGGCTGTGATCTCACTGTGACATATGTGTCTGCTCATTAAGAGAATGTAAATCCTGCTGGTCTGGTTGACTAGATGGTGCTTCCTGTCGTCCTCCTATTTCTCATAAATTCTCCCTGACACTGCCTACACATGCTTATTTAAAGAGTGCGCAAGTTTCTTCATTTATGAAATGAAAGACTATGTAATAGTTAAATAACACAAATTCCTACAAGCCCGTGACCATTTTTAGATGTGTGAAATGACCAATGGAGTTGGATGACCATATGGCCATCCAAGGAAAGACTTCAAAAGACTTATCATGTTTTGATAAATTCCTGGGAAATGCTTTTCAAGTGTTTTTATCATCTGCAAATGAGGACTGTATTTCAACATACTCTTAAATAAAACCTCAGCATATAAATATAAAAGATAATTCTTTACTAGTAAAAATATATTCGATGAGTAGTTACCTTTAACATTTGTTAATCATAAAGTCAGTTAATTACATTGCCTGGAAAAT